TATATATATATATATATATAAAATGAAACTAGCTGGATGTAACATCTATTGGTTTGTCCAAGGCCAGTGGATGGTGCTTCACTGTATAGAAGACCATTTTGTGGTATTACAGTAAATTGTTCTAAAGAAAATTGGCAAAGAGTTTTTGTGATAAAAGTAAAAAATAGGTGCTGAGTTCAAAACTGGATATAAATTTGGAGTTTGAAAAGTAAAATTAGAGACATCAGAAGTTTCATTTCCCCTTTCATTTGTGTTGCAGATTAATCTGAAAGGTATCGGTGAAATCTATAAAATACGCATTGGACATGACAACAGTGGACAGGATCCCGGGTGGTATCTGGAAGAAGTCCGACTTGAAAACACAGCCACGCATGAGCTCATTTGTTTCACTGTTGATTCCTGGATAGCTGAGAACGAAAATGATGGAGATACGTGGAAGGAAATGCCTGTCATGAGAACTAACAACGCAACTTTGCCAGGTATGTAATTTCACTTTCTTTGCAACTGGTGTATGTGTTAAAATAATTGACATGATTTAGAACAGGGGTAGGCAGCTTTTTCTGTAAAGGACCAAGTATTTCACACTTCGTGGGCTAGAAAGTCTCTGTTGAAACTGCTCAACTCTGCAAGCACACTGAGGCTGCGCATGTCAAGTGTCCTCAAAAAGTTCATAGAAAATGTGAATTATAGAAGAGTTATCCATGGATTTCGAAAGGTTTTGAACCACACTAAACTCATGCTTTCATTTCATTTTTCCATGAACTTCCTGAAGTCCCTTAATATGTAAGCAAATGGCATGATTACGTGCCAATAAAACTTCATCTGTGGATACTGAAATGGGAATTTCATAGAACTTTCTTTTATCAAAAAAGACTATTCTGCTCTTAATTTTTTAAGCCCTCAATTAAAACAAAAAGCATGTTAGCCCCTGGACTGTACAAACACAGGCACCTGGCAACTTTGGGCCACAGTCTACACAGCTTGCCTGCCCTGACTTAGAACATTAGGCTTCAGGATTAACACTGGCCTGTTTGTTCAGAGGTGAAAACAGATACACAGGGGGTATATGAGTGTGGTCCTTTCATCTAGAAGCTGCTTTAGCAGCTGCTTTAAATGTAACTTTCTTCTTAGTTGTGCAATGTTAACAAATGCTGGCCACTGTGAATTTAGGAGCCTCTGAATTCCTTACTGGATATTTTGTTTGTTTGTTTATTACCTAAAAAAACACTCGTACGTTGCCTTGTCTTTCTATCCATTTCCTATACTCTGATAACCACCTTGCTTTTGCCTCCACCAGTCATGAAATATTGTTTTAATGACTATCAATTGCCTCTGTTTAAAGTGTGAGTGGGTATGCATATTGGGTGTGTGTGTGTGTATGTGTTTGTTAGTGTCCTAGTCCTCTCTCTTGTATTGGCACCATTGATCTCTCATTTGAACAGGTAGAGATTTCTAGAAGTTCTGGACCTGGACACACTGGGTTCTACTGTTGGCTGGGGGATGGGTCTAGCTGTGTCACTGTAGCCAAGCTGGGTAGCTTCCCTTAGTCATCCTGTTTCATCTGTAAAATGGCGATTAATTAGAGTACCTATGTCATAACGATTATTTTCAGCACCTGAGATAGTGCACATAGCGTATTCAGTGTAGTGTGCTGACAGTGTTCCTGGTGCACAGAAATCACACAGGAAATGCCAGCCATTGTCATCATTATTAATAACTCTCTCTTTATCCCTCCCTGCATCATGGGATTCCAACCTAGTCTTCAATCATCTGATCCAGTTTCTGTATTTCTATCACTGGCTCCACTTGTTCCTCTTCATTGAACATGTGGGTTTAACGGCTTGACTTGCCCCTGCCCTTTGAGCTTCTCCTTCCCTTCCTCTGTTAGCTTGGCACAGAAGAATAGCACCCTTCCACCTTCAGCCCTGTCCTCCTCCAGGCCTGGGGCCCCGTGAACCGTTAGCTGCGTTGCCATCTCCTCACCCTCGTACCCACTCAGTCAGTCATTCCACACAGGTAAAGGGGAACGAGTGCAGACCAGAGGAACCAGGTGCCTGGTACGCGAGGAGCTCTAGCTCAGAGGAAGTACAGAGGCCTCAGTCTCCTGTTCCCCAGGCGGTGCTGTGTTTCACAGCTACTGCTACTCTCTCCAGTCTAATGACTCTCTCTTCCTGCCCTTTTGTCAACTTCTTCTTTCCATTTTCTCTGGAAGTCTTTGCTTGGCAGCTCACTAATGCCTCAAACCCACCACATGCCGAACGCAAGTCTGTCTCTGCCCCTCTACGTCCTGCTGGTTTCCTCTACACTGACAGGGAGGGTCTAGTCTTTCCCTGCCGGCTTCACTCGGTTAGCTGATCTCCCAGCAGAATCTCCATTTTATTAAGACATATTCCCGATAGATAGACCAAACATGCTAACCTTCATTACTTCTGTGGAGAAAAACTGGACAGCATTAGGGGAACTTTTACCTTCTGTCTGAAGTTGGTTTTTCAAAATCCTAGATTATGGATGATTTTTATGTTATTTTTTTCTTTTGAGATTTTATTCATATAAAGGGATAGAAAAATGAAAAAAAAAAAAAGACATATTCCCCATCCCCACTGGAGTGCTGAGCAGCACAGAACACTTGAGTCGTGTGCCCCACGAATACATGTTGGCTAATTCAGACATGGCCAGAAAGATTTGGGATAAGACCAGCTTAAGGAAAGAAGAACTATGTAATAATGCTATTGTTATATTTGCATATATTCTGGCAAAAATGTTTTCCTGTATACAATCTCATTGAGCACAGAAAGTTCCAGATCCTAATGTTCTATTTGTCCTATAGTCATGTAAGAGAATAAAAGTATCCAGGGATGTCTAGCAGATTCTCAAGTTTAGGAAAAGGAAAGGACCCTAAAAATTTTAAGATCCTGGTTTTCACGCTGTATATCCTAAGACCTATCTAGTCTATTTACCGAGGTGCTAACATCTGTCAAGAATCTATTCTTCTTTTTAAAAATTATTTTTAGAGGAATTTTGAAATTCATGATATGAGCTAGCCTGTGGCATCGTGGTTAAGGCAGTTGGCTCCCACATGGCTGACAGTGCGTTTCAAGTCCTGGATTTTGTGGCTTGAGAAACGTGCCAAGCACACGTGCATGCATGCCCAAAATCCCAAGAGGAGGGAGGGGTGGAGGAGAAAGGACCACAGCATGACCACCCTCCATGGGTGGGGGCTGTTTCCTTGCTTTCCATCTCTGTCTCTCTCTCTCTCTCTGTCTCCAGTGGGTGCACACACCCTCTGGCTAATCAAATCAGAGAAGGAGGGAAGAGATGAAAGAGATGAGAGAGAAGAAGAAAAGTAGTAGAAGAAGAAATTTATGGTACCACTAAAAAAAAGAAGAACAAAAGAAATTGTATTGACCTGCTATATTACTTATGTCTCAATTTGTAGTGTAGTGTTTTCAGAGGCTGCATTATTTTTAAATGAACTTTATTTAAACTCTATGGACACCTATTTTATATTTCTTCCAGTTGCCTCTTACTTGACATATGCACAATTTGTTGCATGCAAAAAAAATGTAGAAGGCAGTCGTGTGTGTTTCTATTTTTTCTTTTAAAGATCAAGATACAAAAGAAACTGCATTGTACTTTAAATGAACTATTGATTTTGGGTTCGTTTAACTTGAGCAGCAATAAAGGCTCAGCATGTCTCCCCTGCATCTTTCTGCTCATCTTCTCCCCACATGTGCTAATGACACTTTATCCATTAGGACTTCCCATTAAAGGGGTAGTTTCTTAGCTGAAGTACACCAACCATTTCTCAAGGCATTTTCTCCAACAAAATTATATAACGTAATGATTCTTAGGGCTAATCTTTCACAGTTGTTGTTTTTTTTCCCCAGTTTTTCTCAGATTCTGACAAATCAACCAAACCACCCCTTTCCCAGATTGAATATTTGCTCATTTAGGGGAAAATGATTAAAATAAGAAAATGTCAAGAGAATGACACCCAATGTTCAGGGATTAAGTAGGGACCAACGCCTTCTGGTCAGCAAGGGACAGTCTTGGCATGTGCAGTCCCATGTTTTAGAAAGTGCCACCAGGGGTTCATCCACTGTTCCCATGACATCAAGAGATGCCCACTGCAAATTCAAACCACTAAACTGATGCTTCTGTGGTTGGGGTGGAAAGGCGGTGTGAGGAGGGGTGACCTTAAGTATTTTGGATTGTCTATCTACCTGTCAAGGCATTCTGCAGTGTTCCAGAAAGAACACAAGGAACAATGAGGAAGGGATTTAAAAAAAAATAGATTATTAGGACCAGCCAGTGGTGTTATGGTTATGTGGCTGGGCTCTCATGTAGTTGATGGGGTTCGAGTCCCAGCCCAGTGGCTTACAACTCACGCTGGGCACGTTGTGTGTGCATGCCCAAGATCCTGAGAGGGGAATGGAGGAGAAGGGACTGTGGCATGGCCATCTCCCCTGGGAGGTGATTTCTCCCTTTCTGTCTCTCTTTGTTTCTTTCTCTCCAGCGAATGCACATGCCCTGTAGCAAAAATCTTTCTCTCTCTCAAAAAAAAAAAGAAAGAAAGAAAGAAAGAAAGAAAGAAAGAAAGAAA